TCATGAATCATATTTCTTTATTTCATTTGGGGTTCAAATTGTACGTTTTCTTATTGATAATTAGCATGATTTATTAAGTTCTTCCGATCTCCAGGATTTTAATATTATATGTCAAATATTAACAATGTATTGGACTAAGAGTTTCTGACAACACTTGGATAGTTTGAAGAGTCACTATTAGTTTAGACGAAATTTTTTGATACTTTTGCCTCCGATACAGAAAAATTGGGTGTTTATACCGTTTCCGGTTTCTCAAAGTCTTTAAGCAGCCCAATTAGCTTGTGCTTGTAAACGCCATTGTTAATAGGGGATGGGCACAAGCTGTGTTATTTAGGGCACAACCTATACACACAAGTGGTTGAGAACTTGAGATTATGGACCAGATTTTGAAAGGTTATCGTTTTTATACACTTTAGATGAACTCATCGTATCATTTCATTTTGTTCACATCACATTAATTTCATTTTCTGGCATTTAATCTATATTATTTAACAAAAAAAAACACAGAATTTTATTGTTAAAAAACAATCTTAACAAAAACAATTGATGATAAAATCATTGATCCATTGATCTATTGCCGATTTCACCATCACCAGTTGTCAAACCATCTGCCACTGCCACTATCGGATTCATTTAGTTTCCCACGGCAGTCTATTATATCAAGTTTGTTTAATTTTCTTGTAGTATATATATATATATATATATATATATATATATATATATATATATATATCATTGATTTTATCAGTTTATGATTGTATAGTAAGTTTATATTCTTGGTCCTTTAGTTTAGAGCAAATTTAATTGTAAAAGTTTAATTGAGTAGTGACCAATATTTTTAATATTAGTAGTTTGTGTTAGTATCGTAATTGTGCCATAATTTCCATATAGTGTACGTTATTTAACCAAAAAAGAAGTTTCAATAGTTTTCTCTTAATAATTTGGTTAAAAAAATATATAATCCATTAGTTAGTAATGACACGAAAACGCGTACGGAGACATGTCACATCAAATGCAAAGCAATTTAACAAAAGATGATGAATACCAATAATTTTATTGGCTTTAGTATTGAATAATCAAAATATATATATAAATAACAATAACTCTAGTCGACCAAAAGTATATTGAGTGATAATGTCATCTTATCACCAAGTTAGATAAAATGAATTCGTGCATCGAGACGTACGACACATCATTCCTTTGTACGGAACTTACTTAATTAACGTTAATTATATATACCAAAATTATATTGGGTTTTTCAATTTACTCAACATATGTTTATACTAAAGTATTCGAGATATTTTGTATTTCAACATGCAGTTTGTACCTTCAGAGTTGCCTAAGACTTCAGAGGAAATTCATTAACAGGTGATGACTGTTTAATCCATCGAAAATAACAAAAAAAAAGTTGCAACAAAAATTTCCGCTGTTGGCTATATCTATACAATTTTTATTGTTGGTTAACTTATATCAAAGTTATAGGGACCAAACTATATTAATATGAGTATACAATGACAATTAACATTTGAATTTTCGTATTGCAACTGGCAGTTTAATTTCTATAAAAAAATATTAAAATCTAAGAAATTTTTTATCACAATTCTTTTTTTTTTTGGTGTGCAAAACACAAATTTTTATCCTCTTTTAAAGAAAGTAATATCATATGTATGTGAGGCCATATATATATTGAATAACTACTGCGACATTAATCTATCACGGATTCTTTTTAGTGTCTCTAATAGCTGTTTGTTGCTTCACTGCATCTGCATGGTTTCATTCTTGTTCTTATTTTTATTGTTGAATATGGACCAATTATTAGAAAGATCTTGTACCAAAAAAAAAAATTATTAGAAAGATCAAATTGAAATGGTCAATCTATATATAGTGATCCCAATATCTCATGCTTAACGGAACATGTACATATAATAATATAAGTTTATAACTTTATATACGTATACGAACATTATATACAAATTAACTAGTGCAAGTGGAACCCTACGCATGATGTCACGAATCTAATTCGGATGTAGTAGCTTGTAGAAATTAAATTCATTACTAAAATTTTCGCCAATCATATCATGATACCGTATATTAATCACATTATTGTACATTATATCGTTGTATATATATAAGATCATTAGATTTCATTAGTGCATAAATACATGGGGTTGTCATACAAACATAGATAAATTGACATAGATGTATTCTTTGATATTTAAAGTTAAGTAAAAGATTAATTTGTTGCGTGTGGTTCGGTCACTCTTTATGATATCGTATGATTTATATTACTAATAAGAATATAATGTCATAGATCCTAATATATAAAAAGACATAAAGTTTTTCTTTCAACTGATTTATAATGGTGTTACTCTCGGTAATTGAATTTGGAAATGCTATATATGTATATGGAGTGTCCATGATGGACACATATGTGACTGCGTATTTACACACACACCGCATGTATATATGCTTATTTCACACGTTAGACGAAGAATTCAAAGAAGTCGGTTCTATTTGTATTCTTGTGAGATCATCAATATGACACTACCATTATATATATATATATATATATATATATATATATATATATATATAATTCATATGTTGTAATGGTTCACATACCATGTCGACGTACAAAAGTATAATTAATTAAATAGTATGATTCTAATAACAGCACAAAGTAAGATTATAATTCATATTTTAACCATAACTACCATAAACTGGTTTCAAAATAGTGTTTTCTGATGAAACTATAAATGAATTAATGAATCCGAAATATAATTGAACTATAACTGATTTCAAAATATATAGTTTGGGAACTAGATAATACGCAAAAACTAGAGCAGTTAATTAGTTTTTTTTTTAACTAGATTTATAATTTGGAGGTTAAAATATACGGAGTATTACACCATGAAAGCATAAAGAAGTCAAGAACCAGTAAGTTATTTACTCTCACTTTAGTGAGCTTCCACGGATCAATTTTTGTTTCCAATATTCTTTGGGGGATTATTTTAAAAAAATGTTTGGTTGTGTAAATTGTTTTAATTAATTTTCATTGTATTTAAAATTTAAAGTGATTAATTATTAAAAATAATGTAACAATCGATTATTCGTTGACAAAAAACAGTTAGCTATGTGAAAAGTCATAGTTAAATAATATATAAATTATATCTTATTATTTTGGTGTACACATATATAGAGACAATAATAGTAAGTGTATAATTCAAATCGAACTCATATAAGTCAATAAGCTCGAAAACTACAAAATATCTGCAGTCTTTTTAACAAGATTTGTTTTCCAACAGAAATGGTCATTTCAGTGAATCATTTTATCTATCCATAGTTTCTAAATGTTAATTTTTTTTCTTTTCTTTTTACTTATTGTTATATCTCACAACATATCATATACATATCTGGTTTATTTACGTTCTCCAGATATAAATAATTTCGTTTTCTATAAATTTCAAAGATTAATCTGAGTTTATCTATGTGTGTGTTCTAACATGGATTGTCAAGTTGATGCAAGAGGGGATGGAAATTTCTTCCCAGTTGCAAAAGCAAGCTGACTAGCATTTTATTTTTAATAATAACTTATTTCTCACAATATGGATTTTATTATTGTTTTGTTGACTTTAAGATTTTGCCTTTTATGGGACTGCACTCCCCCGTGCCAACTTTTTAATCTTCATCGCCTAAAAAAGAAAGAAAAGGCTACCATTATGGACCGAAAATATTAGAATGATGTGTTTAGGGTTTAGTTTTGCTAGGTGTCCATTTGATAAATTAATGAAATCAAGATAAGATATTATCGAATTAATTTAAAAACACTATTTGATGGCAAAAATTTGTTGCATCATTTCCATTTTCTTAATTTCGTGTCAAAATATTGCATCTATCTAATTTAGTCTTTAAAATATTGAGTATGACATGATTGTGTTAAACATATATAACTATTTTTGAAGTACCAAGTAAAAATTTGTTGTTTCTATTTGTGAATATTTTATTATGTGTAAGTCATTTAAACACACACAGAATTGGTGAACATATAACTATTAACATAACAAATAATCATTATTACCAACAAAAAAAAAAGAATAAGCAAAATATTCAGAAGAAGATATTATATATTGGAGAATCTTTCTTTAGTCTTAGTTGGGAAGATTTTGTGCTATGGGATTAAAGGTATCCCTATTCTATGATAGAGGCGTGGGGTTATTGGACCAATCTATATATATTACCACAAGGCTTAAAATAAAGTGATAATACCCTCTCAAATTACTTTAAACATTTTTCAAATAGTTTATCAAAAGAAGCTAACGGTATAGATCATACTTGCAGCAGTATTCTATAAGTATATTAATTCCAATGGCTCGTTACGTGAACATAAGGTAAGCTAGTAGACTTACGTGCCACATTAAACTCATACATAATTATACAAGTATCATGAAACTAGTGACAAAACCTTCATCAAATAAAGAAATTACTATGACGACAAAAAATAAAAATTAAGAAATTACTAGTGCACGTCATACTCATGCATATGCATGTACAAATGCCGTTTTCAGTATTTAATTTTATTAAAGCAATGATATTTAAATTCTCTAACTCATGTATTTCCAAAAGACATATTGTCAAATTCCTTTTTTGTTATATAAAACCATATATTCATATTGTTATACTTTCAATATCTAAGCGTAATGAAATTAACACGAATATGGACTAATTTTATTTTAGAAAAAAAACATGAATACTTTTCTGAATTTTGTGTATGATTTATAATTGTAGATATTTTGTCGGAGATGGATATATTTGACAAGTTAACGTTATTCTATTTATTTTTTTTCTAAAGTTTAGGTACGAATTGACTTTTTCAAAAGTCAACACAATAAATTTTAAAAGTTTAATGACTAACGGGTTCACATGGGAAACGAAAACACCCTAAACCACAAACAATCTTATTTTCTTTCCTTCTTTATATAAACCAATGTTTCCCAAAAGGCTTGTTCTCGTCATATGTTGTACAACAACCCAAAAAATAGATAAAAGAGGAAACAAAATCTCGAAAAGAGAGAGATATATGGGTGAGGTGGCTTATATGGACGAAGGAGACCTAGAAGCAATAGTCAGAGGCTACTCCGGCTCCGGAGACGCGTTTTCCGGCGAAAGTTCCGGTGGGTTTTCACCTTCGTTTTGCCTTCCGATGGAGACGTCTAGTTTCTACGAACCGGAGATGGAGACAACCGGTTTAGACGAGCTCGGTGAACTCTACAAACCCTTTTACCCTTTCTCCACACAAACGATCCTCACGAGCTCGGTCTCTCTCCCCGAAGATTCAAGAAGTTTCCGAGATGATAAGAAACAACGATCTCATGGTTGTCTTCTATCCAACGGATCAAGAGTTGATCATATCCGAATCCCAGAATCCAAATCAAAGAAGAGGTTAGTATTCTTGATGTTCTTGAGAGAATTCTTTAAAATGCGATTTTTTCTGAAATATTCTTATAAAATCATATAAGAAAAATGGATTTAAGTTGTCTTACTTACGAGTATAAATAATTAGTAAAATATAGAGTTTTCAAGATGGTTTGATCTCCAACCGCGTTTTGTTTTATAATTCCCATATATATATATGCTACTTGTCGAATTAGATCATAAATAAATAATATAATTTTGAATTTGGACAGCAAGAAGAATCAACAGAAGAGAGTTGTTGAGCAAGTGAAGGAAGAGAATCTGTTGTCGGACGCATGGGCGTGGCGTAAATACGGGCAGAAACCCATCAAAGGATCTCCATACCCAAGGTCTTTAACCAATCCCGGTTTAATCTCATGTCTTACTTTCTCCTAAGTCCTCCTAATCAAACATAACCCGGTTTACTAATCTCTCAATTTTTGTTGTTTCTTTTTCTTCAGGAGTTATTACAGGTGTAGTAGCTCAAAAGGGTGTTTGGCAAGAAAACAAGTCGAAAGAAATCCTCAAAACCCGGAGAAATTCACCATAACATACACTAATGAGCACAATCATGAATTACCAACCCGGAGAAACTCATTAGCCGGTTCGACTCGAGCAAAAAATTCCCAAACCAAACCATCCTTAACCAAAAAATCCGGAAAGGAAGTGGTTGTTTCTTCTCCCACAAGTAATCCCGTGATCGCATCCGCCGATGAATCTTTAGTTGCGGTTCAAGAAATGGGCATTGTAGAAATTAGTACCCACCAAGCAGCTGGAGAAATCCAGGGCATGAGTAACGGTTTACCATCGGATTTGATGTCGGGGAGCGGAACTTTCCCGGCTTTTACCGGTGACTTCGATGAACTATTGAATAGCCAAGAGTTCTTCAGTGGGTACTTATGGAATTACTAGAGAACATTAGGTGTATGTATATATACATATATTCAAACTTATATTATAGTTTCAGCCATTGAGGAAAATGTATATTTATGTCTAGTCTCTAGAAGATTAGAGCGTCGTAATTTTCGTCTTGTTTCCAACTTGAGCTTTAACCAATATAATTCGATTTTTCTTGTCATGCAAATGGTAAGACAATCCGTTTTATCTATCCATAAATCGTTTAGTATTTAACATTTGTCACTGTTCTAAACAAGGATTTGCCTAAACGTTAAGGCTAGGTTAAATGGAAGAGTCTTTTAGACGGTCTAAACAGTCAATTAGGCAACCTAGAAAATTTATTTACCAACTCAGCCGCATTTAATGTTCTAATGAATGTGCAAACTATTTTGTCAATGATAAAACAATTATTGGTGACGAAACATATTATATTCAAATTGTATTGTCAAATGATTTAATTCAAGCGCGTGACCTTGATTTCTTTAATTAATTAACTAAAAGTGCATTTGTTTAAATTCAGACCATATAATGCTATTTTGTTAGCGGAGCGGCTAAATCCGTATTAACGGTTAAATATAAAAAACACCACCATTTACATGTTTTTGTTAATATAGACCCTAAGCAGTTATGTGAAGCCATTTGTGATTTGGCCTTTGGGATCGTTGTCATCATAAAAAGTAAAAACGTCTTGGTCCATACCCATATAAGTTGCAATATATATACTTATTGTAAGAGATCCAATAAATATTTGAAAATAAATAATTTTCATTTTAGTTAAGCTATAAGATACAAATGATATGTGAATGTGTGTAGGTATATATATACATCTGCATAAATATATATGTTTAAAGCAAATGATACATCCTCTGACTAATTATTCAAGTTTGTAGTCTTAATAGTTGTTGATGAGCTAGTAATCATTCTTCATTGCTAATTTATGTTTCCACACAACCAAATATAAACGTGAGTTTATCTGGAAGAACTGATCAGAGCAGCGACGGGCCCAATAAAGGCGGCGTTAATGTAAGTTGTGGGCTCTGCATGAGAGTAATCTGATCTTTTGTCGCTATACTGGTCGGATGAATTTGGTCCGCCCACAATTGCACCGGTATGCACATTCGGGTTTGGTGTATCAGAATTGTAGTATGAATATCCTCCATTGCAGTCGATTTTCTCCGGTTTAGATTGGATCGACGGTAAAGATGAGCCTCTATGATGAGGTTGTGTCGGGTACTTTGTTCCAAATCCAACCATGTAAGACATTTTCAATGGATTATTTCCAAGGATGTAATCAACCTGAATATTAAACCGGTTGGTTAAGAACATGGAAATGGTGTACATAACCGGACTAGGTAGGGATAATTCAATTTCTTTACCTGTGATTTGGCGAAGTTTCGAATTTGAGATACGGTGAACTGAGTCGAACCGCACTGGATTGAACCAACCCGGGCTTTAGTAAGAGTTTTTGAGTAATGGAACAAAACAGTTGTAGCCGTTGTTACATATTGTAAATTGCTACTGTCTCTAATAAACAAAAGGCCACCTGAATAAACAAAAAGTTAAAATAAATGTAACCATAAAACCAACACCAAAGAAAAAAAAAAAAAAAAAAAAGCTCAAACCAATTAACCAGTGAAAATTACCAGGAGTTGGCTTAATTTGTTGAGAGCTACTTCCTGGCATCAATGCACAGACGAATGATTCAACATCGGTCTTAAATTTTGCCAAGTCATTTGTCCCATTGTAAAACTCCTTAAAGTAAGAAAATAACAAGAAAAAATTAATTTAGATCAACTTAATGTTATAGTATTTAGCAATGTCCGTTATTGATGTACTAACCGATGCGAGCAAAGCCTGAGCACCGGCAAATTTGTTGTCCCAGCTGAATTCATTCACGGCTTGGCTCCAATCTTTATTGCTTATAACATAATTTATGTAACTCTTCTCTCCTGTTGCTTTGTATAACCAAGCCGCAGCCCACAATAATTCATCCTATTTTTACCCCAAAATATTTTATAACATAACGTGTCTTGTTTAAGTAACTTATTTACGTAAACATGAAAATATCTATGTGTACCGATTTGATTCAGTTTGATTACCTGGTAGCCAGAGTATGAGCAGTAGAAGGGGCAAGATGCTTGGTAAGAACCTCTGTACTTATCAGCAAATTCAAATAGCTGCACAAAATAGATAAAATTACGTTACCTCATGATTGTATTAATATAATGATTTTTTTGGACTTAATATGAATATATACTCACGGATTTAGCATGGCTTAGTAGCGTGGATGAATAAGTAGAATCGACCGATTTAAAAACAAGTGAGGCTGCGGCAAGAGCGGCTGCTGCTTCACCCGCGGCTTCGGAACCGGGGGAAGAGGAAGAGATACTGTAGAGAGTTCTTGGTGTGTCCATATCTTCTGGTCTCTCCCAACAACTATGATCTGAATTCCCATCTCCCACCTTTTTATATCCATTATAAAACAAAACCAAAAATAAGTATTTGAATGTCGATAGTAAATTTCTTGAATATTATAGAGGTATATAGTTATATAGCTAGGATACAAGATATAGAGAATGAAAAGTTGGTTTACTTGTGTATATAGCATGGTGGGCGAAGCATGAGCGCGGAGGATAAAATCGGTTCCCCATTTGATAGTAGACCGGAGATAACCGAGCTGGTTAACGGAAGAAATCTCACTTTGGTACTCAATTGCAGCCCAACTCAACAAGGTTGTGGTAAATGACATTGGCCACACAAATTTTACATTGTCACCAGCATCGTAATATCCTCCAACCAAATTCACCTGAAATAAAAAACACCCAAAAATTGGTAAAGAGATAGCATAGTGCCTATATGCATATAGAGATATTTATGAATATAGCCAGTTTACATTAGCTAGTGAACCATCAGAGAGGGCAGAATCGGCTCGCCATTTAACCCGTTGGTTAGTCGGGAGTTTACCGGATCTTTGGCCTTCAAAGAACAAGATTGACTTGTTTAGTGCATCTCCATAATCAAGAGCGTCCAAGCTTTCGAAAGCCAAAAACATCATAACTAACATTAACACCAAGAGCTTTCCCATTATTTATTGCTAGAACTTTTTCAAGAAATGTTTCTCTTTTTAAATGGGTTTTGAATGTTTTTTGATTTTGCATGAAATGTGGTTAATGGGGGTATTTATAGATACCGCATGCAAGTAAAGTTGGGTACGTAAGTTCATTTCATGAGATGTTTCACGTAATTTTAGGGTAATTTGGCTGCACTGTTTTTATGTTCTCTAACAAGAATTAAGTTTCGATGATTACGGAATTACAATATAAGGTTTTCGATATAGCAAGTTGTAGTTATATATTGACATTTCACATCGTATAATTTTTCCTAACCACCATATATACTTTATTTTTTCTCTTCTATCTGTAAAGGTTTAATGTAGGAGGTTTAATATATTTGCTTAAATAAGGTTTTTCTGGCTTATTTACAGCGAAACAAAAAATATCGAACACTACTTTTTTTTTTTTTTCGTCTCCGAACACTACTTTTTTAAATGGTTTTTTCTTTGTTGTTTTTTTTCCTAAAACTAATAAACAATATGTAAAACCTATGTAGTTCTATATCAGTTTATATCAGCTTCTTAACAAACACATACTTATAGGTCCTGTTATATCAAGACATAAATTTGGAAGTACTTACGCAAATATATTGTTGTGAAATTGTAAAAATACTTTTTAACGATTGTTTGTATCTGAAACTTTAATATTTTTTAATATGAATATGAAAAAGATAGTACAAGGTTTTGGTTAACAATGGATCAAAATCGAATACGCCGATTCCATACCTAGACTTTTGGATATACAAGCAAAATAACAAATAATAGTCAAATAAAAAAAAAACCCTTATTTTTCATGGATAATGTATGTATCCCACAATCCAGGTACACCAAGATAAACAAAGAAAAAAACTTCATTTCCTAATCCCTTTTATTAACAACAATTCAATTGAATATTTGCTACTTATCTACTAGCTCGTATTTCTACAACTTATCTACCGGCTCGGAAAATGATATTGCAAATTATTAGATGATGTACGAGTTAATTAACTAAACAAATAATAATAAAACCCGCATAGGACGAAAACATAAACATTGGAAGTGAGCAAATAGGTTCACTTAGCGAGCATAATGAATGGTAAGATGATAATTTGATCTAAAAAAGGGCAATCTAATCTAAATGTAAAAACGTAAACTATCATTTTTCACGTGTGAGAATACTGATTGACTGGGAAAAGTACGTGGTAGTAATATGGAGATGTCGTGCCGTAGAAATGGTTGTATAAAACATTTCAGTACCCATTCCTCAAAACGTCAATGTTAGATTTTGCCGTTAGTTTTATTTTGTTTTCAGTTGTCATAAACTTATTTCAGTTATTAGTTATTATAATTAATTGTTTGTTGTTCCTGTTTTCCTGCTAAGTGTAAACCTATTGTACAAATTTCTTGCGTGTTCACCGTATATATGTTTTAAATTCATTCGAAATAATAAAGAACTCATTAGGGACAGTTCATCAAATTGGATGTACTAGTTGATGGTTTTGAAAATTGGTATGATATAAGTTTAATAAAGTGTTAAAACGACATTGTTCGTGAAACATAAGGAGTACTTTTTAAAGAGTTTACCGCTCTATCATATCCTTTCTAAGATATGAAAACATTTTTAGTTTTAATTATGCTTTAGTGATTCTATTATGCCCCTCATTCTCACAATTTATTGCTACTATGCTTCTTTGCCTATTCAATTTATGCCAAATGATATCATTTTATAGACATTTCAACCTCAAAGAAGTTTATAAATACAACATATAAAATATTAATTTTGGTCAGCGTCGATGGTTATAAGTTATAACTTATTAGGTGATGGGCATGATGATGGCAAAGCATGTGACAAAGTTTTATGTCCACTATTTTCTTTCCGCCTAACGCAAATTCGTGTACGTTACATCTCCCTATTAATAATGCGTTAATTACTCCGCCAAGCTCATTTTCATTTATGATTTACCTGACATTTTCATGATATGATTTAATTTAAACCAAAAAAAAAAGTAACGTCATATTTTTACAGTCATATAACTCATTATGAAATTCAAAATGAAAGGACTTAACTAAAGATCATTTTTCTTCA